ATCACCATTTTCCTCCTCACATCCATCCCCGAGTCGCGGGGGAAAAAAAAAAAAAAAAAGGCTGCGTTTGGTGGCAGCTCCACCGCACAGCTTTCTTCTTCAGCGGCGGGTCCTTCCCTCTGAGAGGGACTGAGGGACCTGACGCCAAAGAGCCCAACTTGCTGCCCCTTCCCCTTGGCTGCCCCAAGCACTTGCTTGCTGAGCTGGGGGCTGGAGCCGGCCCTGACTGTCAAATCACTGAATGTTCTAAAGGCCGGGGCATGAAGCAGCAGACACTGCACAGGGAATTTCCAGAAAAACTGTAATAGGAGTAAAGGAGATTGCTGGGTTGAGTTTCACCCAACCCTCCACCTCTTAGACCTACCCTGGAACCAACACAAGGGTCCAGCATCCCATTCAACCCACTCAAACTAATCTAGTACTTAGACTAGAAAGGACTTTTACTATCCAGCAGTTCTCAAACTGGATCAGAACTCCAAAGTGGATCATGACCCTATTTTAATGGGGTTGATGGGGCTGGCATTAGACTTGCTGAAGCCAAAGCCTGAGTCCCACCTCCCAGGTACAAAGACGAGGGCTTCAGGCCTTGGTGGCAGGGCTCAGGGTTACCGGCCACTGGTCTGGGTCTGAAAGGCTTTGGCCTTCCCTCACCTGGGATGTTGGGGCTCGGGCAGGCTCAGACTTTAGTCCCACCTCCTGGTGTCATGTGGTAATTTTTGTTGTCAGAACAGGGTTGCAGTGTAATGAAATTTGAGAAACCCTGATTGGCAATAACTACTCTAGCTAAGGTTGCAGAATAGTTTCCATCCTAATCCTTATTTTCAGTAGCTCGTAACTTTCTAAAACATACCCTGAAAGAAAAAAATTTCAGCCCCGAAGATGTAGCTGCTCAAAAGTAACTTTTTCACTGGGGCATCTGAGTAAAAACAGTTTAGCTGTTTTTGAGTACAAGGACCAAGAAGAAAACATATTTCACTTTGTGAACTTTTATTAACATCTGGAACAGCTGTAGGTTGAAAGTGGAAAGAGGTATAACTCTCTCTGATATAAATTAGTTTTGATTTTGCCTCTAATAACCACTTACTACAGAATGCACACTGCATTTTCCACGTTTCTTGCAAGACTGCTAAATTTAAAAAAAGGTGCAATGTGCACATGTTTGACTAACTTAACTAGGTAGTAAAAAGTATAGGGTCTGGGTCCAATTAAAGTTGCAGGGACACACAGACATCAGGAAATGCCAAGATTACAAGTGCAATTTTAATGCTGCTCCCCTGTGCATATTCATTTCCAATAGTTTTTCTTAGTAGAAAGAAATTAATTGTAAACATACAAGAATGAAAAATACGTGTATTTAGGGAGGCAGAAAAATTATATATTGTATGCGATCATGTTACCTAGCTACATGCATATATACGACCTGTAGTATCTGAGCACCTAATTAAAGACTGTTGTAATGTATATGTAAAAAGGAGCAGAGGTAAAGTTTTTGTGCACATCTTTAACTTTGGTATTTCTTGACCGTTGAGGGCTAACCATACAGCTTTAAAAATCTCTTAATGTAAGTTTATTGTTTAGATTTATAAAATGTTCCACTATGAGCTTTTGTAAATCATAGTTCTTTTAACAGTGCTTGCCAAGCCACTTTGCAGCAGCCACATGAGTGAACTGCAGAGACCATCAAACCTGGTCAGAGGGCAGACGGTAATGTGAGACTTTGTCTGTCTTTGGCCACTACCACATGTGGGGGTCTCTTATTGGTCCAAGGTGTGATGACTGCCTACACACTAGCCCTAGCCCATTCATAATTGGTTTGGAATGGCTCACTATTGTGGTGGCAAATCAAAGCTGGGTATGCGTATGGTCAGGTCAATTATAAGGGACAGTTTCTGACATCAACTGCAGCTCATTCTTCACAGCACTTTGACATCACAGAGAAGTCTGGGCAGGACAAATGGGCCCGCAGCGGGTGCTTCGATGACAAGTGCGCTTTCGGGTGGTTGAAGGGGCCTGTGTACAGTGGAAGGCTTGGGTTTGCCCTGAGATTCTCAACTCTTCTGCCTATGGCATCCTCGCAATGCAGATGTGGAAGAGTGCTGTTGCTTAACAGAGGGAGCCATGGTATTAGTGTGGGTTGAATCATTCCAGCTATCGTGCGATTGGTTGAATATAGTAGTATATCACCAACTTGACATGAGATGAATGGAGCCAGACTGGAGCACAGTATTCTGCTGCAGAGTAACAGAGGACTAAAGTGGTTGATGGATCAGTGTTCTCATAGTGCAACCCATCAGTTCCCAGTTCACACTGGGGACAATGATGATCCAACCAGAGAACTGCATTCAATGTCCTTTCTAGGGCTGAATCTCAGTCACTTGTCAGCCAGCATTCCTCATGCAGTTCCACCCCACAATGTTCGAGCCATTAGGCTAGCCCTAAGAATATTACAAGTCAACACTGAGAGTTTGTCAGCAGCCAAATGCAGTATGAGCATAAACCATGGTCAGAAATTATTAGGACTTGCAGAAGGTGTGAGTTTTACTTTGCCTATATAACTACACATCACAAGCCTGTATTTATACAATCTAATACAATATGTTTTGAGAGTGAAATGGGTGTAGATGGATTGAACAGTGGTCAGGTCCTATAAAGGGCATCAATAAGAGATCATAACAGGTAATTTCATAAAAATGGAGATCTACCTCTCTCATAGAACTGGAAGGGACTTTGAAAGGTCATTGAGTCCAGCCCCCTGCCTTCACTAGCCCACCTCATAGTAGCACCATCTAAGTTGTATTTCCCTAGTTTGTTTATGAGAAGGTCATACCAGACAGTATCAAAAGCCTTACTAAAGTCAAGATATACCATTTCTACAGCTTTCCCACTATCCACAAGGCTTGTTACCCTGTCAAATATGGTACGCCCTTGTTAGGCGATGGTTACCATACAAAATGGAACTGTCTGATACTTTATTAGAGAGTATAAAGTGGCATTAAAGTTATGTAGGAACAGTGAATTCCTAATCACAATTGTTCCTTGTGGGTTTTTACCTTTTGGTAGGTTTTTAACTTGTAATATATCCTCACTATTTACTTAAAGGGGCAACTCAATGAAAGGAAACACTGATTTCTCCATTGCTTTAACTTAAATAAACTAGGCAGTGTATCAATATGGAACATACCTGCACAAATTTCTAGGAATGAAAACAGAGACACATGAATGTGCTGCCAGCAATTCATTCTGAACTGTTGCTTTTAAAAATGAAGACATGAAAAAGTGGCAAAATTTGTCTTTTTTTCACTCCAGACTCATTTCCTCATAAATTCAATGATAACAGTTTCCAAAACTAACATGCACTTTGATAAATCAAACATCTCTTGCTGCTTTTCAGTACCTTTGGAGTTAGTTTCTTTTCTGAAGCACAGAAATGGCCTTCTTAAAGGTAGAAGTGATTCAAAACTCTTACCATTGAAGTTTGATGTAAAACAGAAGACATCATATCTGCTTTTATCTTTATCCCAGAACCCATAATTCCTGACTCCAGGCACTGTGTTCTTTCCTCCGCAGGGCTCTCTGGGTTTGGTGATAGGGTACTGAACTGATCCATCATTGAGCCAGCCTGCATTACACCAATCCAGCCCTGACCTCCACGCCTCATACAATTGGTCAAAGGAGGCGATAACAGAATCTTGGTCTAGACAAGCTTGCTGAGCCTCGTGGAAGTTTAGGTTGTAGCGACCCAGCCGTGGAAAGTAAGGGAATACAACACCTATATCAGAAAGGAAGAAAGAAGGCTATTAGCTGTTTAACTATATAAAAAACACAACAGAGAGAAATATCATTTACTGGTATCAAAAGGACAAATTTATGGTTAACTATGTGAGATGCCAAAATAATACAACTGCAACTGATGGTTTTATTTCTAGGAAAATTCTCTGTCAGCAAGTCAGCTGTTTGGTCTGAGAACGTTGTCTGACTATCTCCTGACATGTCAGGCTTCCTTGTCTGATAGCCTCACAGTCTTTCCTTCAGGAACCTGACCAATTCTGTCTCCTGCTCTCAGCTGCAGCCTTTGTACTGACACCAGAACCTCATCCTTGCACATTCTGACAGCATTCTGTTCTGGGGACCTTACTACCAACCACATGCAGACAAACTGCAGGTAGGTCGGAGGAAGGCAGCAGCAGTGGTTAAGGGACTGGGGGTCTTTAGAAGGAAAATGTCAAAGTAAGCAAGGAAAATCAAGGAATTATATTTAGTGGGTTTAGTTTAAGGGAACATTTAAAAGAATAGTCAGCTGATCCTGTTAAACGGCTGTAGTGTGGCTTTTAGCCACAGCCCTTCCATGGAGGCAGCACAGAGAGGCATTTCCCTCTCTCTGCTACTACACCTTAGAAAGGGTGCAGCACATGGTCTCCTGCACAGCCAGACAGTTCTGCTAGCCACTGTGGAGGATTTGGGGTGCCATCTTCTCCCTGTCCCCTTTTGGGTGGCTAACAGCACAGTGGGCATAGCCAGAGGACATTCAGAGGAGTGCGGGCAGAGATTGTGGCTGGCCCAAGTGCAGGGAATACAAAGTTGTGGGATGTTTCCTCACAACACATGAGGACCAATCTGCTTAGCTTTTGAAGAGGGATACAACACAGATAACTTTTGTTTAAAAAGAAGGAGGATCTAAGTAGAGACAGATGAACCGAGGGAAGTTTTAGAATTGTCTGAACAGCAATATTTAATGACACTCATTCACCCCACTCTACCCTGTAACTTTTCTCTCGGCACTTTTTTTTGTTTGTTTGTTTACATGGTGTCCTTCAATTAAAAAAAAAAAAATACACAGCTGGACACAGGAGAGACATGGCAAACACCATCTCAGAAGAGATCTTTCCAGCTGGCTCTGATAAAATTCAGCAAAGAGCAGAGCTAGAACTGAAGCAAAAGCATCCCAGATTTTGTTAGGGTTTCAAAACCTAACTCGGATCTGAATTTGGCAGACAAAGTTAGTCCAGGCTCTATAAGGTGAAACAAAATACCTGATCCAAACAAGATCCAGAGCTGAAGTTTTCTGCTCAGCTGTAGAACACAGTAGAGTAGGGCAGGGAGAACGTGGGGGATGAGAAGAAGCATGAGGAGAAGAGCCAAAAGGCACCAAGATTAACTAGAAATCTACCTTTCTTTTTATTCTCTCCCTATTCTTGAACTCTAGTTGCTAATTTTCTTCTCCTTCGCAAGCCTCTTCTGTTTAGGAAGCTTCAGTTATTAGCTATTCTGAACTATAAACTATGAAAATAAAGGTAATACATATGTTATTAACTATGCTATAATAAGGTATACATATTCTACATGTTTAAATTCATTCTGGATCTCTTTTTCCACTTGGTCTTGTTATTAATTTTACTCTAGGGATGCCCAAGGAATGAACCACTGAGGGTAATACTGGCAATTTACCAGAAACAAGGATTGTATCCATTCTGCATATAAATGTCAACAGTCCAAGTCAGGTCCACAAGCAGGCATGAAAAAAAAGCCTCATTTCCAGAGGGGCTGAGCACTCAGACCATCCCGTGACTATTGTTGAAGTGATTTTAGGACCTTTAGGTAATGTGTGCTGCTGTAAAACATAATTTTATTTAAGTGGCTAACTATGGATTTAGATGCTTAATATTTCCACTCGCATTTAATAATTTTGGCTAGGTTTTAACACATAAATATGTACACAACTGTAATATTAGCTTGTGGGTGTAGCTTCCTCAACAGATTAGAAGTTGCTTTTTGTTAGAGTTCATCTACAATAAAAACCTGCAATTGATTAAACTGACTTCCCTCTGCAGCTACAAGGAGAGGCTGGCTAAGGGTGATTTACATGACAGTTTAGGCTGGATTTGTCCTGTGATCCATGCTTTGTGTAGCTCCGTCTTACCCTGTATTTAATTATCTACTACTGCTGTGCCTTCTTTCCCTATAGCTTTTAATGTTGAATTAATAGGGATGACCTGTATTACGAATCTCTCTACTGCTGCAGCTACTCTTACTACGCTTTTGTGCACTAGTTAGTTACCCAGCATCTTTAGCTTCAGTTCTTGTCACCAATCTCTATACGACAATCCATTACATACATTTTTGGATGGAGCAAAAGACCATCCTGAAGGTTACATTTTTCTACAGCAGGAAATGGAATCAAAAACTCCTGACTTATAGGACTATAACATCTCCTCTCCATAACAGTCATAAATTCAATTTAGGCTTTGGGGAAAGAGAAGACAGTTCCTTGTGTATTTGTCTCTTTCTGCCTATGGATACCTCTTTGGGCTCTTTAAATACCATGTAAATCTGATGCTGGTAAGTGACTGGCATGTCCCCACCAAATGTAGAGGTCATGATAATTCTCATCTTTAGCCTTGCCCCTGATTCACTAAAAAAAACTGCATTGTGATTTCCCTTCCCCCCTCCTCTTTTCCATGTCACCATGTTAAATATAACTCCAAGACAAAAAACATGGTGACCACACTATCTATGCCGCCAGTTGCTTCTACCACCCAACCAAGGGATCTGTCTTTGTAGGGAGCTTATTTGCAACAGTCTACCTTAATTCTCTAGGACAGGGGTCGGCAACCTATGGCACGCGTGCCAAAGATGGCACGCGAGCCAATTTTTAATGGCACACTGGAGCCTGCCGGGACTCCAACGTGCCATTAAAAATCCTGCCCAGCCCGGCCCGCTGGGGGCAGGGAGCAGAAGCATAGCTGTGCGCATGGGGTGGGCAAATGACCCCACTCTCCCAGCACGGCAAGCCACGGGGTCTGCGCTCCTAAGCCGGAGTGCAGCAAGCTGCCGGCCCCTCCCGCGCCTTCTCCCCTCCCCTGGAGCTCTGCCGCCGCACGCACAGCACTCTGGGGGTTGGGGCTGCATGCTCCCGCAGGGCAGTGTTTGGCTCCGCGGGGAGGGAAAGACACTCCCCTCTCACCCGGAGCCCTGCCGCCGCGTGCGCAGAGCTCTAGGGGCCGAGGCTGCGCGCTCCTGCGGGGCAGCTTATCAGGCTCTGCGTGGAGCCTCATGGTAAGGGGTCCAGGGCCGGGGGGGTTGGATAAGGGGTGGGCGTGGGGGCAGTCAGA